GTTGTATCTTTGAGGGTGAGTTGGGATGCTAAAGGTTGTGAGTATGAGGAATGAAGGTCAGAGAGTGAAGCAAAAATTACATAGTCAAAACTACTCTTGAAAAACATTTAAATTGTCTATAAGATCCATTAAGTATGGCTTCACAAAAGCCATGCAAAATAACTACTAACCTTACAAAATAACTACTAGGCACACTGTTTTGTGAGTAGCTAAACTAGCTAATCTAAAATACAAAACATAGGGTGGGGAGAAGACTAGGGTATTTATAAGCAGATATTGGGCATTTAATCTATTCCACATGTTAAATGATTACAAAATTCCTATATGGTGAGTGGAAGATGAGTGGGAATTCTAAGTGTTCTTGTTTGCTTAGTGTTTATTCCTAGTTTGAGATTGGTCTCTACAACCTTAATATATGTGAACAGATTGTTTGGTGATGGAGTGTGTGTGTGTGTGTGTGTGTGTGTATGTGTGTGTGTCTGTGTTCATGTTCATATGTGATGCCAGGAAACAGTAAAACAGATAGTAAAGAGTTTTAAGTGCTGAAATCATTGAATACATTACATTTAAGTTTAAAATTATATCATCATATAGTAGAAACAAATACAGTTTTGTGTGTATAATAGTTAAAAATTCTCTCAATTGAAAGCACTAGATGTTAGCCAGGCAAGGTGATGCAGGCCTGCAATCTCAGCACTCTGGGAGGTTGAGGCAAGAGGATTGCAAGTTCAAGCCCAGCCTGAGCAATTTAGGAACTTAGTAAGACCCTGTCTGTTTTGGCTTTCATCTGGATGTCCCCCTAAAGCCTCATGCAGTCTTTTTCAGAGGTGACTGGATCTAGAGTGTGTGATTGATTCTGGGATTAAGGGTGTGTGATTACTAAATCAGTCCACTGATTGGTTTGGCACTGCCCTAATCCTGGTAGCCTAGATAGAGTATAAAAGGGGCAGAAAAAAGCTGCTAAGGTCCCTTGTTGCTTTTGCTACCTTGTAGGTGCCATGAACTGTTTTTCCTCTGCTATGCCCCTCTGCCATGGGCCACCTTGGCTTGGAGCCAGCTGATTATGGACTGAAACCTCTGCAAACTATGAGCTAAATAAACCCCTTCCCCTTTAACTTTGGGTGTCGGGTATTTTGTCTCAGCAATGAGAAAAAAGTGACTAAAACACTGTCTCAAAAAAAAATTAATTAAATAAAATGGTAAGTGTGAAGGCCCTGGGTTCAAACCCTACACGACAACAGTGAAGAAAGTAGTAGAAGTTCACCTGAGCTTTAAAATAGTTAAATAAAAAGAAAGGGTGGTGTTTTCGAAGATTTGAGGGTATAACCAGACCTAAATGTACAGATGCAGGTAAACCTGAAATGAACTGGAGCCAGGAATTCAAATGTGCTCCAGATTCTATTTTGTGTGTGTGTGTCTAATCATTGTTCCTCCCATTTCATGACTTTTAAATTAAATTTTCAAATGGGTCTAGGGCTTTATAAAGAATAAGAATTATTGCTATTATTTCACTGGTTTCAAGGAGTTAATAGAAATAAATAATAGTAAAGGCTTTATTTACTGTAAGTCATGAATTTCTAGCTTTTTATTTTCCTTTTTATTGAGGTAAAACTACATGAAGTACACAAATCTTAAGTATACAGCCTGATGAAGCATTACATATACAATCACACTAGATCAACACATAGAACATTTCTGGCACCCCAGTATGCTAATCTCACCCCAAAGGTAATGGCTGTTATCACTTTGCTTTTAAGTTTTCACTGTCTCAGTTGACAGGATGGTGGAATGACAGAATGCACAGAGAAAAATAGAAGACATTCAGAACTGCAGTAGGTAATTCTGTAATTCATTATTAGCGAAAGAACCTAGCGAAGTAAGTGGCTTTAAAATTTTTAACGTGACATACCAAAAAACCACTATTTTGTAATATCGTGACTATATATATGTCAAAATATATAGATATTTTCACCTCTCTACACTTATAATAGGGTCTACAAACACAGTGGCTTCTTCTTATTCTCTGTAGAATGAAAAACATGGTGCTAGGGGCTGAGAATGTTTGTGGCTCCTCTCCAAATTCATATGTTGAAATCCTAACCTCCAATGTGGTGGTATTAGGAAATGGGGCCTTTCAGAGGTAATTAGGACCTGTGGGCATAGCCCTTGTGGGTGGAGTTATTACCCTTATAAAAAAGACCCCAGAGAACACTCTAGTACTCATTTTCTACCAAAGGGGCATGAAATGAGAACTTAGCAACCTAGAAGAGGACCCTCATCAGAACCCAACCATTGCTGGCACTTGATTCTAGATGTCCACTCTTCAGAACTGAGAAAAATAAATTTTTGTTGTTTATGCCACCTAGTCCATAGTATTTTGTTATAGCAACCCAAACTAACACGTGGACACCAAGCATTTAGACAGACAAAAAGATGAGAAATTCTATTAAATATGGTAAGTGCTACTAATGAGATAAGTATAGATTACTACAGGATATTAGCATGTAAGGGGACATTAAACATGAACTTGAGAGGTTGAAGAAAGCTTCCTAGAAATGACTTTGAAGTTGAGTCTAAAGAATAGAGTAATTTCTTTGCTCTAAAGGTGAGGGAAGAAGGGGGGAGGAGATAAGCAAAAATGACATTCCACGAAGAGAGTGTAACAATTGCAAAATTTGATTGAGATTTTAAAAAAATGTTTTATTATAGAAACTGTAATGGGATTTTGATGGAGATATTGATAAATGTATTATTTTTCTATATATGTGAGTTTGTATATTTTATGAAATAGAATGATGAGGTTAAAAGCACAGGTTTTGTTCTTAGATAAGATTTGAGTGCTACTCCTGTTATCTACTAAATAAAACCTTGACCTTGGGCCTCAATTTTCTAGTCTATAAAATGGGGATGACTACAGTATCTACTTTTGGGGTTGCCTTCAGGATTTCCTCCATTCCCTTTGTAATCCTTCTTTCTGCCTCCATTCACCATTTGGCTTCTCAATTTTCCAAAAAGGTCTTGTAATTCCCTAGAAACATAAATTATTTTTGTTATTTTTGAATGTGATGTTTTCCCCTCACTACACTTTCAAATTGGTGGTTGTTTTTTGGGAAAAGTGTTTCTTTTACCACCTTTGTGAACTTCTTTAAATTAATTCCCATGGATTCTTCAAGAAAGCAGTCATAATACCAGAAAGGATATTTTTTTCCCATTTTCTTTCCAAATGCATACATAGTGTTTTGTTTGGCCTTACTAAGTTCTGTTAGGATCTCAGGAAAACAATGTCTAGTAGTTAGGTCTGACCCCTAATGACTTTATGGTCCAGGGAATGAGAGAGAGAGAGAGAATTCACACACCATATGCCCATATGTCTAAATATTTATATATTATAAATCAAGCTAACCAATTGAAAAGTTTTATCTTCTTACATAGTACCCTAATTTATAATATACATATAATGAAAAAGCCAGGTTTGTATTTAAAATTCTTAAAGTACTTCATTATATTTGAGGTATCTTTTATCAGATCTGAACACCAATACTTTTACTTCAAAAGCTGTTGTTTGGGCCAGGGATTTAGCTCAGGGGCATCTTGCCTGCCTTGCAAGCACAAGGTCCTGAGTTTGATCCCCAGTACCAAAAAAAAAAAAATCTGTTGTTTAACTGTCTCTTGCATAACCCCCCCCCCGCCAATTTTCCCATGTGATTGCCTAATACTTTAATTTTTCTCCTTAGAATAAATTTTTGTGTGTGTGTGTGTACGTGGATCAAACTCAGGACCTTGTGCTTGCAAGGCAGGCTCGGTGCCACTGAGCTAAATCCCTGGCCCTTAGAATGAAAATTTGATAAACATCTCATTCCTATAACCAATTAATATCAGCATCTGGTATGCTCTCAAAGAAAATCCAAATTACTTAGTAAATTTTTAGAAATGGCTTTAGTTTAGAAATGCCTTTGAAGAACTTCTTAGGGCCAGAATGTTCCATGGTCCACAATTGCTATCTCCACTTCTATTTCACTGGAAGAGCTTAAAAACTGAATTTCCATACAGGTGGTTTGACTACCTTATGACTTCCAAAGGGAACACTATAAGTGGATACATTCTAATCAAGTCATCTGAATTACGCATATTTTATAAAGAGCTATGTGTGGGAAGTTAGGTTACCAAGAGAAGAAGACCAGTGACCTGCACAGGGCTTCAAAGCCAGCCATCTGCTTGTGATGGTGGCAGCTGGTCTAACTGGAATAACTTGGGAAGGAAATTATGAAAATCAGTTGTGAGTTCCAGCCCTGTCACAAACAGGTTGAACTAGCCTGAGTCACTTAACACTCTTTGTTGAACTTCAAAGTCTTTACTTATAAAATCGGAATAAGGACCTGTATTAAGCACTCCACCAGCTACTGAAGAGAAATCACAATTTGTCTCTTCCGTTTCCGTGCTTGTTGCAGTTAACATATGCACCCGTGTCCTGCCTGCATCACTGGGCTTTGGAGATGAGGGGGATAAGGCACAACCTTTCTGAGCTTCAGTTTCTACACACGCCAGCCTAGCAATAGAATTCTAATAAGAACAGAAGAAAATATGCAGGAAAGCTGCAAAATACAGAGGGCATTACAAATGTAAATTATTTAAAAACACACAAAGAGACCTAAAAACTAGTACTTCTTTTTCCTCCTGGTTTTAGGGTTACAACCCCACAATGTCAATCAAGACCACTTTTTAGAGAGCTGTTCGCTATCCAGAGCAGTGTCTGCTTTGGCACTCGGCACTCAGGTCCCACACGGCGGCCGCCTGGCCTCAGGGATCTCCGGGGTGGAGAGCCCAACCCACTATCGCCCCTAGAGACGCCCCGCCCCCGACGACGCCCCGCCCCCGACGACGCCCCGCCCCCGACGACGCCCCGCCCCCGACGACGCCCCGCCCCTTTGCTCCCGCGCTTGCGCTGTGTTCACCAACCGGCCTCGAGCGCCCCGGCTGGAGGTAAGGGGCTCGCGAGAGGCTGCTGGGGACGTCGGACCCCGACTGGCACCAGGGGCAGGGTGCCCACCCTGGGCGGGGAGAGGTGCCGGCGGAGAGTCGGGCCATGGCTCGGAAGTGTGAACCTTGTGGGTGCTCCTTTCAGCACCAAAACTGGCACAGCCCGGGTCGGTTTCGGTTTTGGAAGAGCTGTTCCCAGCGGGTGCAGGGAGGCCCCGGACCGGGCGAGAGTGATGGCTTCCCCAGTTGCGAGTGGAAAAGTTTCCGGCGCCTGCTCGGCCATGGCGCACTGCAGGGCCCAGCGCACTGGGTCTCGGTCCCGGGCGGGCCTGCCCAGTTGTTCGCTGGTTGGAGCGTCTGGTGTGTGTGGCCCAGGTGTGCCGTAGGTGACTCTGCGAGGGCCGACGCGACGCTCTGGGATAGAGGGGACTGGGAGCGAGAGGCAGCAACCTCCCGTCAGCCGAACCAGGAGGTGATTCCCACGTCTCACACCTAGCTCCGACCTTTCAGGTGTGCGAGGCTCAGAGAGGAGACCGCAGTGGGACCAAAGGGCTTGTCTTTCCTCTCCAGATTCCCTTCCCCCTTCCTTCAGTCTGAAGCACAAAGGACGAGCCCTGGGAAATGGGGTGTCACCGACACGCCCACATATGGCACCTCTGGGTATTTCTTTGAAGCGGTGGTGTTGCCAGCGATTTGGGCCTTTTTTCCCCCTGGGAAATAGAACTTTTCACTTACAAATAATCTTTTGAGAAATTTTCTTAACCTGGAGTACCTCCTCCAAATCAGGAATAAATACTCATATTAGTTGTAAGCATTAAATGACAAAGTTTTTAAAGCACTTGGGACACCTGGCAACTCTTCCTGCAGATATTAGTGCAGTGACAATGTTTGCAGTTTTATGACTTTTAAATATTTCTGTCTTCTCTGAAGCTTTACATTTTTTGGAGGGAGGGTTGAGACAGGATTTCACTGTGTAGTTCAGGCTGCCCTTGAACTATGTAGCCCAGGCTGACCTCAAACTCAGCGATCTTTCAGCCTTAGTCTCCCTAGTGCTGTGATTACAGGCATGTGCCACTGTGTCCAATGAAACTTTAATTCTTGTACATTATTTAAAAAACCTCTATTGAAATATTTTTACAATTGCAGAAAAGTTTAAAAAAGTAATGGAGAATCCTCTACAGCTTCCATTAATTATAACATTTTACATACCATACTACAGTTATCAAAAGCACGAAATTATCAGAACAATACTACTACTGAGGATTTTAAAGTTTCATCATTATTTATTTTTATTTATTTATTTATTTTGGGGAGATGCACTTTCTGTTTTTTAGGAGCCAATCTAAGACCCACATGTTGCAGTTACGTTGATTAATAATGGCTACTTCATGTTTTCTACTTTGTGACAGCTCCTCAGTATTTTCCTGTCTTTCATGACCTTTGCACTTTTGAAGAGTTCAAATGGTGCTTGTCCAGTGATTTGTCATGATTAGATTAAGGTTATACATTTTTGTTAATACCACAAAAGTATGTCTGCCCTTTTCAGTTTATCCCATCAGGGTGCATGATACGACTTACTGCTTGTGATATTAATCTTGATCATTTGGTTAAGATGGTGTCTGCTGAGATTCTCCAATGCAAAAGTGCCATTTTTCTCGAACTGATATTTAGGAAGAAACTTTTAAACTAAGGAAATATGTCTCTGCAAACTTTCCCTTCATAAATTTAGCATCCATTGGTGGATCTTGCCTTCAATAATTAATACTGTGGGGTTCTAATTGTGATTTTCAATTTCCCTCATCCCTTCTCTATTTATTAATTGTAATTCTTCTATAAGGAAGAGTGGTCCATTTTCCCCAGTTATTATTTGTATTCAGCTATTCTAGAAGTATAGACTCATATAGTTATTTTTCTATTATTTTATTATTCATTTTATGTCTTATTCACCCAGCCTCGATGATTGGGAATTTTGAGAATTTTTTTCAGGTTGCTTTTTTTTTGGTACCAGGGATCCAACTCGGGTCCTTGCGCTTGTGCAGCAGGCAGCAAAACCACTGAGCTAAATCCCTGGCCCTCAGGTTGCTTTTTGTACCCTTCTGACAGGCCTCTCTCCTTTTTAGAGATCTTTCTTTTTTGCACCATAAAATGCTCCACACCCTCTCGTATTTTCCCTGCCCCAGACCTGGAATCAGTCACTTCTTCAGGGACCTCGTGATTTCTTTTCTCGGAGAAAAGTATTTAGACACCAAGATCTCTGTTGTAGCTGTGCTCATTACTACTGAGTATTATTGTTTGTAGAGCCTGGAAGAAGGCAGCAGTGTATGTGTATACACACCTATGCATACAGTAAGATCTCTATTTCTGTACTTAACTGTGTGTTTTTATTTTTATTTTCTTTTTAGTACTGGGAATCAAACTCAGGACCTTGCGATTGGGAGGCAGGCGGTGGCACCACTGAGCTAAATCCCCAGCCCTTTACCTGTGTATTTTTAAAACACAAACTTCAGCCCAATAACGGATTCTATGCTAACATCACTGGATTCGTCCTAGTTTTGTCTATTTGTAACTTCATTTTCAGACAATGAAAAACTGGCACTCATATTCTGTGAAATATTTATTTGTTCAGTCCTCTTATACACTTAAAGTAATTTTGAGATTTCTAACATACACACTTGAGACAAACATATAGTGCTGGTATATGGTGAAGAATTTTTGTCTTTAGCCTTATTAGTATTCAGTGAAAATATTGTTTTCTTACTCTCCACTCATTTCCATACTGTTATGCTAGTCATTTATAATGAGGCTGATCTTATTTTTGATAGTTTATATTACATTTCAGGTTTCCCCCACATCATTTTAAAAAAAATTTATAGCAGCATTCACTCTTTTTGTTATACAGTTCTGTATAGGTTTTGACAAGTGCATATAGTTGTGCATATGCCATTGTAGTCATAATGGAAGAATAATCCCATACATCAAATATTTTATCATATTTTTTAATATTAACAATTTCACAGAAATTTGGGGAATTAGGCATTTTTGTGTATTTTGTTTGTCTTTTTTTAGGCATTTTACACAGGTGAAATCTTCAAATGTAAATGCAGTTAGTTTCTTCATGCTTTAATTATATCAGAAATATGTTCTAATTTTAAGACTGAAAAATCTAGAAATGGTGAAATATATTTTTACTCATTATTCAGTCACACTTCTAAACCATGTTTTGATATTGGATTAGTATCTTCCCGTAACACCATATAAATGTTTGAGCTATGTATGATCAGATCCACTGCTGAACAACGTTTTATTTCCAGACATGATATTGCAGTTATTTGAATTTTATGTTCTTAGTTTTATGTGGGAATTTTATTATAATTTTGTAAAAATAAAAAAATGGTAGAGAAAAAAACATTAAATACTATCTAGAAAGAGAGCAAGATTGGAAAGATCCTTGGGAAGTTCATGGAGCAGATTATCTTCCCTGAGAAATCATTGTTGCTGAGGGAGAAGGCTTTCTTTATATCCACAAAACTCGGGCAGACGCATGTGTGATTCTGATCTGGAAAAGATCACTTTTGGAACTCAAGAAAGAAAACTGTAAGGTAACACCAAAAACAAGTGGCATAGTTAATAATAAACTGGGAATTGTTAATGTTAGACAAATAATTGATATATTAACATATAATAGACTCTTATAAATTAACACAAAATAGAAGTACCCTGTAGTAAAACAGATGTATAGTATGAACAGGCAATTCATGAAAGAAAAGAAGGAAATGTGTAATCAATCAATCCTATTAGTAATTTAAGGGACTCAAAGCAATTATTAGATACCATTTTTCCTCCAATCCAATGTCTTAAGAAGAATGGAAACACCCAATAAATTCATAGGAATATGGATAAATGGACATTGTTCTGACTTGCTGGTGGGAATATAAATTAGCATGCCCTTTTGTGGGCCATTTGACAATATGTATATTAGAAAACTTAAAAAGTGTGACTACTTAATATTTCTATTTCCAGGTATTTAAAGAATCATAGGTGAAAGTATGAATATATGTGTAAGAAGAGTAATTACACTAGAGTTTATAATAGTAGAAAATTAGGTTCACCCTTAGCCAAAAATAGATGATTAAATTATGAATATATACATAAATGTAAAAAGTTATAAATAGAAGTTATTACATGGAAACATTTTTCTTATATTTAATCATTATTAAAAGTAAGTCCTTTGTCATTCTGATTATAGGATGTATGATATGTGGACATCCAAATTATATAAGGAAAATATTATAACTCACAACCTGCTAGATGTCCAACACGCCAAGTTCATGTTCTCTAAAATCGAAGAATGAATTCTAGGAACAACAGAGGTTAAGAGTAGGAAAAAAATTGCCCCTTTCCTTCCTATTTCACATTATCTATTATACCTTTTAGTCCAAAGGGGAAGGGCAAGTGGGAAGGGTAGGGGAAAGGAAAGAAGGGAATGGAATTAATATGAGAAAAGGAAAAAATGGAAACAAAGTCTTGGGAGGGATGGAGGGGTTGAAGGGAGGGCAGGGGAATAGGGAGAAAATGAACCAAGAGAGATTCTGTAAAGGTGCAAATTTCCAGTGATTAATGTCATTATAGTGTATACCTGAAATGTACCAATAAAATTAATTTTAAAAAGTAGGAAAAAATTTATTGAGAGAAAGATAGCTTCTGTCTAAGATAGACAGAAGGGGGACCAGAGAGTGGGTAGCTCACCTTCTTCTCAAAGGTGTTTTATTGAGCAAAGCCCCAAGGTGAGGCGGGTTCAATGTGGGACAAAACTGTAGTCAATTAATAAGATTACCAAGTATAGTCTCTCATGTAATACAGATTAAATGGTGATCAAATGGGGAACCAAGTGTAGCAAGCATACATGGATTTTCTGGAAATGAATGGGCTCAGAGGTTTTGGTCCCCACCCAAGGTGATTGATACTTATTTAGAATATCAATCACTGCTGTTCATCCTAGGGGAAGTATGTGAGTGTAGTAGTTCCTCTTTTTCTTGAATCCTGGCCTTCAGTGAATGTGCCTCCAGCCATAAAGGTCTTCCGTGCTGAGGGCCCAGCCCTGCCTTACTGCCTTATAATATTTTCTAACTAGTTTAGCTGTCTACAATAATTCCACCCCTTTGGGGTTATCTTCTTTATTGTTGAAATATGACCTTTAGGGGCTGGGGATTTAGCTCAGTGGTTCCGCTGCCTGCCTCCCAAGCTCAAGGGCCGAGTTCGATCCCCAGTACCAAAAAAAAATGTCCTTTAGTAGTATTTTTAATGAGGGGCTTGGTAGTCAACTCTCAGTTTCCCTGTGTCTGAAAATGATTATTTTACCTTCACTGTAAATGATAATTTACTTGGGCTTTTTCTAATGCCTTAGCACTTTGAAGCTATCTCTATCTTTTGATATTCTGCTTTAATGAAGTTTACTGCTTTTGTTTTCATGTA